GTGTGTGTGTGTGTGTGTGTGTGTGTGTGTGTGTGTGTGTGTGTGTGATCTCAGGTGTGTGTGTCCGGAGGGCTTCGAGGGCGACTCATGCGAGATCAACTTCGATGACTGTGAGGACAACGACTGCGAGAACAACTCCACCTGCGTCGACGGAATCAACAACTACACGTGCATGTGCTCCCCAGAATACACAGGTAACGCTCCCCGTTCTCTATTCCCAGTTCACAGTTTGTATTGGTCAAGATTAGCGAACACTGAACTCTCCAGGATGAAGTAACTATCCTGTGGGTTTATGTCCGTCTGAGGCCTGTCACGATAATTACGCTATAAACGTATCGTACGATGTGATTATGGACATGACCTTGTTTTTGACTTCCATGTTACCCGTGTGTTTGTTTGCCAGCGATGTTTTCCCTACCATTACAACACTTGGACATTGCGTGGTCATTGCACATGTTTGTTAACAGAGCTAGAGAGTGCATTTTATTTATTATTTTGGTTGTGGTTTTTTTTCCATATTCCAATTGCAATGTCTGAATATTCTTAAGAATTAACAGGATGTACTTGCATTATTATGTTGTTGTATTATCATATATCATATCGGTGGCATAAAATGGTCTTAAAATGAAAATAATATAGTTTATCTCAATTATTTCTGGGACAAAATATCGTCCAACAAAAGTAGTTATCGTGACAGGCCTAGTTGTGGCCACCAGTTTGAACTATCTCAACTTTGTTTCTGAGATATCATGTTTGCCCGTCATTTTGGTAAGGCATATGGCTCAAAAACCACAATATCCATGATCCTTGTCCGCTGTTGCCATGGAGAAGAAGCCAGCATCAGAAATCAAAACTGAATTGGTCTGAGCTGCAGGTTGTATTGCCTCAAACGTAGTAGTTTTCATGTGCACACAAGCTTGTACCTTTTCTCAAAGCAGATATTTTTTATAACTTTGAGTTCGATGCCGATTCAAGCTGTAGAAGTGCTCCAACTGTGAGTCACGGTACATTGTCTTTGAGAAAAAGAAATGGCACATTTACTTCTGAAACTTTTCACCGTAATGAACTGCAGACAAATCTCTGTTGCTACTTGTTTGTCTGCTTTTGCACTGTGCTAATCATCTCTGACTGCTAACCTTTGTGGCGGTGTTCTCTCTCTCTGTCTTTCTGTGTCTCGCTGTCCTGCGTCTGTTTCCCCGTCTCACTCTGCTTTCTATCATCTGTCTTCTGTGTGTTTTTTTTGTGTGTGTGTGGTTTCAGCTGCTACCAATGAGGTGGAGAGAGGTTAGTCTGTTCTTCTCTCCGTCCTTCCTGTCCCTCTCTCCTTCCTTCCATCCTTTCCTTCCTTTCCTTCCCTAATTTCCTGCGCTCTATCCACGCTCCCCAGAAACATTGCTCACAGATTTAACTCACTGTTATGCGGTCATGCTCCATGTTAGCAGTGCATGTCCTTGATGTTCAAACAGTTTGTAATTCATCCTCTCAGGCATCTGGGGTTGTTCTGCTTGCTGATTGGTGTATACATGTTATTACTAAAGCCAAAGGTAAATATTGTGTCATAACATTACAGGTTATCATTTTGACATTAAAGGAGAAGACTGGTGTTATTCTATGATTTAGCTATTTAGCTAAAAAACAATGATGTGTTGATCTGGCAACCATTAATCCCACAAGAACACATAAATCTTTGAAAGCGGATCACAAATATTCACTTGGTTATATCCTTTTTTTATCAAACTTTACTGACACGGGAGTAAATTGCGCATTTGGTGGGGACCTTAGACTGTATATAAGAAGTGGACGTAGTGGTCGTGACGTTGCCCATTGGTTTGTGGACCTCAGTTTTGAAGCCTTGAGTTCAACGATTTGGCCGTCGCCATCTTGGATTTTTACAACCACTAAACGGAAGTGACCATATTTGGACTGAGGAGGAGTGACGTAGAGACGTCGTATACGGCTCTTGTAGTGGTAGCGACCCGTCAGTCACAGTAAGCCCGCCCTAAAGCATACTCTGCTTTATGGTCTTTTGACTCTAAATGGACCATAAGTTACTAAATGAACATCATGCTGTATTGAAGAAGACTTGAAACTGGAGATTGAGACCATGAACTCATGTTTACGATATTCACTAAGGTAATAAATCAAGTGAGAAGTAGGGCAATTTTCTCATAGACTTCTATACAATCTGACTTTTGCAAGCAGAGGAGTCGCCCCCTGATGGCCAGTAGAGAGAATGCAAGTTTTAAGCGATTCCACATTGGCTTCACTTGTTAAAACCGGTGGGTGCTGTCTGTCAGTGACCAGCAAGTCTATCTGGTGTCCTTTTGATGTCTCACGAGTTGACGTATAATCTGCTGTTAGTAACTTAAATATCTAACGCAAAGTTTCAAAAACATTCTTAAAGCTAATACGGCTTCTTTTAATATGCTAGTCTCACACTGAAATACAGCCACACTTGGCATTTTTTACAGAAACATTGTCTAATAACAAACAAGCAGTCGCAGTGTTTTAGTTCAAACTCCCAGGTTCCCTTAATGGTCCTCTTTATTAAAACCATTTGCAGGTACAATCCAAAGCTAATAGACTGGGACAAGAAGACACCCACTGTTTACTTTGAATGAGGACTCCCATTTAAAAATAAGCCAATACGAATGCGTCTACATAAGCGAGGCAGCACTGATACTAAACATGCGTCTCCCACCGTTTCACTCGCATTCCCATCGATCCCCCGGCAATTGTGTAATTATTCCCAGAGTGGACTTTGTGCTGT